ATCAAATAAAATTTCTTTAATTTAAAACAAAATTAGATACAAAAACTACAAACACATCAATTCTAGATTCCTAAATGCATATTTAAATAAATGCAATATGAGTTTTTGAAATACAAAACAAAAATGTAACATAATATTACCAAATACAAACATATAATTGACCAAAACATATATATCAACTGACACTTGATGTAGTTGATGCTCCTAAAAATAAAATCTTAATTAACAAGTAAATAAAATTTATGGATAAAGTAAAAAATATTCTTACAAGTGTTATTTTTTTAGCATTAGCATTTTTTATTTATTTATTTTTTTAATTTTTCTGTTCAACTTTAAATTGTATCTAATTGATGTTTCACACTATCTATTTCTAAATTTTAACTAATACTACAAATTCTACTAATTTTAACTAATAATAACTAATAGTTCTAAATTTTAACTAATTCTAATAATTTTAAATTTTAGCAAAACTCATTTTTATTTTAATTGACATATATTTGTATTTTTACTATTAAAACTGACGCTATAAGTAAGGATTTTAAGGAGACATTTTTCTATTATTTAAAAAGATTTGGTCACGAAAGTCAATTTTTTGAAAGAAAAAATAGCAGAATTAAGGAGAAAATAACTACATTGAAAACAGAATTTTATTTTTTTCAATAAATTTTAAATAAAAACAGAAAAATTATTATAAATTAACATTATATATATATATATATATATATATATATATATATATATATATATATATATATATATATATATATATATATATATATATATATATATATATATATATACATATATATATATACAACCTTTGGAATTAGGGTCGGCATGCAGCAAGGCCAACCTAAAAGTGTTTGAGGTCGACAAATAATGCTGACCTTGTTTCTATATTTAATGGTAAGATTTTTGAATCATTTTTTTTTGCTTTTTTGATTGATGTGGACAAATTATTGTCAACCTTTTTTTTCTTAATTCCAAGGGTTGTGTGTATATATATATATATATATATATATATATACATATATATATATATATATATATATATATATATATATATATATATATATATATATATATATATATATATATATATATATATATATATATATGTATATATATATGTATATATATATATATATATAATAGAAATATAGGTTTGTATAGAATAATCTAAAAGTTGTTAATTAAAGATATTGAATTATATTGAATTATCAGCATAAACTCTCTGTATTATTAATAGGTTTTCCTTTTGAAAAATATGACTATGCATGAGATTCTGCAATGTCTAAGTCTTTCAAACAGTCAGAACTTGGTTCTTGATATAGTATATCAATTATTATACTTGAAATACTATATCAAGTTATTATACTTGAAAATTATTATACTTGAAATACTATATATGGATGGTGTCCCTGTTTGTACTTTTGGTGTGCATTGCAGAGGCCACATTTGGAGCCCTTTGTTACGGCTTAGGGTTTATTAATAGTAATGAGGCTATTGCTTAGTTGTTAAATAGTGTACTGAGTACTATCTATACTTGAGTCAAGTTCTTTATAAATTTAAAATGACTAAAGTACCTAAAACTAAAAAACACAAAAAACCATCATCATCACCAAGTTCTCTAAACCTATCATTTACTAATATTCGTGGTCTTCGAAGTAACTTTTCTTCTGTTGAGTCTTATCTCTTGCAAAGTTCACCAGACCTACTTGCTCTTTGTGAGACTAATTTGAGTTCGGCTGTCCCATCTTGTGATCTTAGTGTTGATGGTTATCTTCCTTTAATTCGTAAAGACTCCAATAATCACATGCTTGGCCTGGGCATCTACATTCGTAAGAACTCACCCATTTGTCGTGAAACTAGGTTTGAATCTACAGACTATTCATTTATGTGCTTTCGTTTAGCACAACTTCACTCTATCGCCTTTCTCTTTGTTCTATATCGCTCTCCTTCATCCCAAGATTGCACTATTCTTGATGTTATTTCTGATCAAATTGACCAAGCCCTCTCTCTTTATCCATCGGCCAATATCGTCGTTGTTGGTGACTTTAATTCCCATCACACCGATTGGCTTGGCTCTAGTGTCAGTGACTCTGCTGGCGTTAAGGCCCTCAACTTTTGCCTTTCTCAATCTCTAACTCAAATAGTCAACTTTCCAACTCGTTTTCCAGACAACCCTAATCATTTACCTTCTCTACTCGACTTATGCCTTGTTTTGGATCCTAGTCAGTGCTCAATTTCTCCACTTTCACCCTTAGGTACTTCTGATCACGGTTTGATCTCTCTAAAACTATTATCAAATTCTTCTACTTCATCAGGATCCCCCTATCATCGTACCACATACAACTACCTTAAAGCTGACTGGGACTCTTTCCGTGATTTTCTTCGTGATGGCCCTTGGGTAGAAATCTTTCGTCTTCCAGCTGACAAATGTGCTTCTTACATAACTTCGTGCATTCAGGCTGGCATGGAATCTTTTATTCCCTCTCGACAATTCCAGGTCAAGCCTCACTCTTCTCCTTGGTTTTCCTCACATTGCGCTGCAGCAATTTCTAATCGAAACCGTTACTTCCATATCTATCAGCAAAACAATTCTCCAGAAAACAGACATCTGTTCACTATCGCCAGAAACCATTGTAAAAAGGTTTTGTCTGACGCCAAAGCTCGCTATTCCCAGGTCATTAAATCTCGTATCTCATCACAAAAATTAGGCTCTCGAGACTTCTGGAGAATCTTTAACAGTATCAATAATAAGGGCAAATCTGTTATTCCTTCTCTCTTGTATGGTTCAGACTTTGTCACCTCACCTAAAGACAAAGCTGAATTGTTTGCTAAGAACTTTTCATCAATACCATCTCTTGATTCCACTAGTTGCGTTTTACCTGACATAGCCGTCAAACAGGTTGATCCCTTGCTTGACATTCGCATCACTTCAGCTTCTGTATCTAAAGTAATTTCCTGCTTAGACTCTTCAACAGCTTGTGGTCCTGACAACATTCCTGTTGTAGTCTTGCAGAGGTGTTCTCCGGAGCTTTCATCCATACTTTCTAAACTATTTAACAAGTGCTTATCAGAGTCTTGTTTTCCATCATGCTGGAAAGCAGCATCTGTTATCCCTATTTTCAAAAATTCCGGAGAGCGATCTGATTCATCTAACTACCGTCCCATTAGTCTTCTTCCTGTCATAAGCAAGGTTTTTGAATCTTTAATCAACAAACACTTAATCTCTCATCTTGAATCAAATAACTTACTTTCTGATCATCAATATGGATTTCGGTCTTCTCGTTCTACAGCTGATGTGCTAACAGTAATAACCGATAGGTTTTACCGTGCATTAGATAGAGGTGGAGAGGTTAAGGCTATCGCACTTGACATTTCTAAAGCTTTTGATAAAGTTTGGCATGCTGGTCTTCTCCATAAGCTTTCTTCTTATGGTGTAGCTGGTAACGTCTTTAAGATTATTGAGTCCTTTCTTTCCAATCGTAGTATAAAAGTTGTCCTCGATGGACAATACTCTTCTTCACATCCTGTAACTTCAGGGGTTCCTCAAGGTTCAATCCTTGGCCCTATACTCTTTTTAATTTACATTAACGATCTTCCAGATATTCTCACATCTAAGGTGGCATTATTCGCTGACGACACTACCATTTACTCTTGTCATGATAAGAAGCCTACACTCTCTGATTGCTTGGAGGGGGTATCTGAGCTTGAAAAGGATCTCACTTCTGCTACAGCATGGGGCTCACAGTGGCTGGTGAACTTTAATTCAGATAAAACTCAATTTTATTCGGCCAATCGTTACCGTAATAATTTAGATCTTCCTATATTTATGAATGGTAATGTACTAGATGAGTCATCTACCATTCATCTTCTAGGATTAACTCTTACTTCTGATCTTTCTTTTAAACCGTATATCAAATCCATTGCAAAATTAGCATCTGCTAAGGTTGCATCTCTTTATCGAGCTCGACACTTTCTTACTCCAGATTCTATTCTCTATCTCTATAAATCTCAAATCCGTCCCTGTATGGAATACTGTTGCCACATCTGGGGCGGATCTTCTAATGATGCTCTTTCTCTTTTAGACAAGGTACAAAAACGAATTGTAAACATAGTTGGACCTGCTCTGGCAGCCAATCTCCAACCTTTGTCACATCGTCGTAATGTTGCTTCTCTTTCTCTTTTCTACAAATACTATAATGGGCACTGCTCTAAAGAGCTAGCGTCCCTTGTGCCATCTACTAAAATTCATTCTCGTGTTACTCGCCATTCAATTAAGTCTCATCCTTTTTCTGTGACTGTTCCTAAGTGCTTCAAAAACTCTTATTCTTCTAGTTTTTTTCCTCGAACATCAGTTCTTTGGAATTCGCTTCCTTCATCTTGCTTTCCTGATTCATATAATTTGCAATCTTTTAAGTCATCAGTCAATCGTTATCTTGCTTTACAGATTTAGTCTTTTCTCTTCCAGTAACTTCCAACTCTTATAGTGGTTGCTTGCAGCCTTGTTGGAAGTGAAGATGTTAAAAAAAAAAAAAAAAAAAAAAAAAAAGTGTCAAGTATATACTTAATATATATATATATATATATATATATATATATATATATATATATATATATATATATATATATATATGTATGTATATGTATATATCAGGCCTTGTTACGAGATTTTGCTGCGTAACGAAAACGCTGAACGCATTTCAAAGTAACTCAACTCAGCAAATTTATTTTGTTTTGTTAGTAGTTAAATTGCGTCACTAGCGTCTATTCAAGTACCGCATCATAATTAAAGTTAATTTCTTAACGCGTTAAAAATCATTGAGACAGTTCTTTTTTTTCACTATATCGTAAGTTACAAATAAAATATAAGTTCCTATTTGAAAAATCGTTTTTATCATTTGCTAAATTTTATTTTTTAAAAAATATTTTCTTTCATACAACGTAACATGATATTAGTTTATCTTTTTATAACTTTACAGTTGGTTTTTGTTTCTTTTTTTTTAACTGTTAATAAACTTTTTTTATCTTTGTTATGAATATTGTTTCTAAAAAATAAAGAGTTTTATCAGTTACTGTTAACATATTCGTGATCATAAATGTTATGTTCATAAATTAAACGTTCGTCATTAAAACTTTACGTTATTCGAATTGAATTAACAATAAACAAAATATTATTAATAATGAATCTTATTAATAAAATATTTACATCAAAATAAATCGTGCATTTTTTAAATTACTATGACAAAAAATGATTTATATATTTAAAATGAATTTATATATTTAATTCCTTAAGATAGTCTGCTAGCATATCATCTTCGCTGTCTACGTCATCAGCATCGCTGCATGTTAGTATATCTTGAATATTTGCTGTTCTAAGTTTGTTAAAATCACCAACATCAGATTTTCTTCGTTTTTTCATATATTTCAACAACGATAAGTCAATAATATTATCGTATTCATCTTTCGACCAAAGACTTTTGTTGCCGAGAATTATGACACAATCAGCAAGTGTGTCGTGGTTCATTGATAGGCGTTTATCTGCTAATATATTTGTAACAATACTAAAAGTTCTCTCGACTTCCGAGTTCGATCCGGATATAGACATAATAAGAGAAACTAGAAGACATATATTAGGAAATTCTTTAATTTTATGTTTAAAAATTACATTCCATAAACTTCTTACCGGATGAGACTCGTACTCGGTTGTGACTAAAAGTTTAAGTTTTTTCCATTCTCGTAAAGCAGCATCTCTTTGAAAACCAGCATGTATTAATGGGACTTCGAAATGGTCACTAACTAACTTGATTTGCGTAACTCCGGACTCTTTATCTTCAGCTATCCAATGTATTGGATCAATAAATTTCATACTTCTGTAAATGGAAAATTCACGAGAATAATCTTGAAATCTATTTGAAAGTAATTCATGAAGTTTAGGAAAAATCACTCTTTTAATTTCATGCATTTTTTGAATTGTTTTTTCTCGATCAAACTCATTCATCTCCATTGTTACATTAATGTAAGAACGATTTTTAGGATGTTTTCTTTTATCACCAGCTCTTTGAAAGGAACCTTCAATTTCGTTGTGATCAGTGACCAAATAGCGAATCACATAGCTGTCATAAAACTCATCTTCTTCCCCAATTGATTTTATTTTATCGTCTATTTCTATTAAAGTTCGTTGAATAGTTGTCGGAATTTCGTGAGGTAATAACTCATTTTTTTCGAAAATTTTTGAAGCTGGGATAATAACTTCCAAACAGTCTAAATATAAACCTACTTGAACAAGAAATGATTGACATTTAAATAATTTTAATAGACCTTTTACTTTTCCAACTGTTTTGCCATTTTTTGGGTCACTTGCATAATTTTCATACGCTGAAAGAAAGGCTGGCCATGTCTCGAGAAGACTAGAAAGGGCTCTTTTCCTGTGCCCAACAAATCTAGTACCAGATATTTTTGGTAAAATGTAAAAAGTTATTCCTATAGCCTTTGCCGCAGCCTCGACTTCACTTTTTAATTTTCCAGAATTTCTTAGTAGGTAATAATTTGACATATAAAATTCTTCGATCTTTATGAATTCCATTACATCCTTAAATGTGTCTTTTATAGCCAATTCGATTCTGTGGTTGATACAATGTATTTTCAATAACCACTTGCGAGATTTTTCTAGCTGTGTTAGGGCACCATTTTTTATACCAAAATTAACGTTTGCACCGTCAGCTGTGGCAGAAACTAGTTTTTTGATATAATCTTCAGTAGATATTTTGAAAAATGAATTATCAGACTCAAAGACACTGTTAATACCAGCAGTAACTGAGTTTGAATCGCTTCCACCAAATTGTGACATTTCCAACAACTCGGTAACCATATATATCGGGATTCCATTGCGCTCTGTACGGACCAAAACAAGTTCTTTTTCTTTTCCAGTTTTTCGTGCTCGACTTCCGTCGCTAAGTATCGAGAAGAAGTTGCAATTTTCGAGAATTTTACAGCATTTCTCACGAACAGTATTGGCACAACATTTGATAAATTCTCTGCCAGTAAATCCTGTTTCTTTACGATTTATGAAGTTTGATCCTGTGATGCGTGCACAATTAACCTTAAGATATAATAAAATATTATTATAAAAAATTAATACTTTCACGTAATAAATTAGGAACTACGATTAAAGCTTAAACTTATTTGAACTTGTTTTTTATTTTTAAAAAATTAACATTTATTTGCAAAAAAAAAAAAAAAGTTTAACAATAATATTAACTAAAACTTACGAGAATAGAAAAATGTGCATGAGGCATAGTTGGATAGCAAGCCATTTCATAAGCTATTTTTACCAAGTTTTTGTAAGAATTATTTGTAGATTTTTCTTTTTCTGTCAATTTTGTTTCACACAAACTAATGTCGAGTTTGTTGGTTTCCACCTTATAGAAATAGTAGATAAAATTTCTTAAAAGGGCATAAATGAGTTGTAAAAAAAGTTATCATAATTATATTAAATATATGAAAATAATGAGGAATTCCATGGAAAGTAGACAGTTTGATTACCTTATTTTATAGAGGCTTTGTTGCATGTAGTAAATAATTATTTTGTATATAAACTTGAAAATGATTTTTATTTATAAAAAGTGAACTAATTCAAAATATTAACATCTTTGTTTAAAATTATAGTTTAAATATAAAATAATTATAAAGTCTGACTATTAACCTGTTGCTCTTTGTCGTTTGCTTTTGCTTCTTTGTTTTCATTTAGGTCTTCATTCGACAATCGGATTGCATTTCTGTGGACAGCACTTTGTAAATGTCGAAAAACGTTATCTTTTTTAACGTAGCGTGTCCCATTTATGTATCGTAATGCGACTGTTCTTATTGCTCCTTTGGTATTAGCCAGTATATTCTCTTGATGAAGAGCACATACATTACAAAATATTTTCACAACATATGAAATTCCATTTTCTACAGCAGTTTCTATACAAAAAACTTCGGAAAGATTCCATTTTTCAAAAGTTTTCAAAGTGACTCTGTTTTTATTCAAAATGTTATCCATTTGATCATGTATTTTTAAAAAAGTTTAGAATTGTTGAATGATTTGTTGAAATCCTTAGTAAATACCAAACTCCTTATAAAGGAAATTAATATGTCGTAAGGAAATTAAAATAACTAACATTAGCTAGAAGATTATTTCGCTTTATTATAAACAAGTTTCCGGTATCTTTTACAAATAAGCAGAAACAAGTTTAATGCGCATTAAAAAATAGGCAGCCTAACTAAGTGTAATAACTATTGTACTTTAAAATTTAATTAAATATATATATTTATTTTTTCCTGAATGGAAAAAAAAATTTTTCTCTCCCGATAGTTATTAACTAAGTACCAATTTAGTTGTGAAAAATGTAACAGCTCTCATCACCAAAACAACATCCTAATATCATCGTAATTACAGAGAAAAGATTTTTATAAATAGGAAACAACTGATTTTGCTAAATATTACCGTTTTATTTTAAGTATTTGTTTTAAATATATTTTTGTTAACCTTTCCATAAATACCATTGATAAAAGTTAATTTTAGTTGAAATACTCAAGTACCAGAATCTGGACTATCGTTTGCAACCTAACCCGGAGTGCCGGAGTTAGCAGTGCAATGCATCTTAACCCGACGATACAATGGAGGTGGGGGGGGGGGGGGGGAAGACACATACTCTTCCCCTGTTCAATTACCACTTCTTCCATAAAATTTTTTTTTTTTTTAAAGAAATTGACCTCTAAATTGACGATTAATGTTATCTCACAGCATTTTTGCTTAAAATTATAAAAAATAAAACGATTTTTTATTTATTTTTCTTTAATGGTAGTTACAAGTTTCAATCATTTATATTATATGATTATAGCTTCATACTACTTTACAGTTTTAATCAGTGCTTAAACAAAGCAAAAAATCTATCAACAATTTTCTTTAAAGAACTTGACTAGTAAGTATTCATCTACTGCTCATAAACTAATTCTAATCTACGTTCTTTCTATGATCAATCTAAAAAATTAATGATAATAGAAATGTATGCAAAAAAGAATCTTCAACACTAAAAAAATCATTTACTTCTAAATACTAAATTTTCAAAAAAAAAAAAAAAATTCGATCAACTAAATTTTCTGACATATTACCGACAGGTCCAGCCAGGCGCAATTTTATGAATGAAATAAGTAGAGTAAATCCTTCAAAAGTCTCAAAAAAAATATTTAACTGTTAGTCAAATGTTAACTCCCCTCTCTTAAAATGAAGGGGGGGGGGGCAACAAACCTTTTCCCATACAACTCGTGAAATCGCATCGGGGTCTCGACAGTTGATGATGAGGAAATGATTTACTTTACAGCTCATCATAAGTACTTTCTTAAAGGGACGAAAAAAAAAAATTGTTTCAAAATTATAAATAAATAAACAAAATACATTACATATAAAATAAACATTACTTGTGAATAAAGTCTATAAACTTATGAAATCTAATATTTAAAATTAAATATGATGAAAAGTTTAAACTTAAAACACTTAATTTTCTTTAAGTAATTTTTAAAAACAAAAAAAAAAATTATTAAACAAATTGTTTTTTTAACAAAAAATCTATTAGTTTACAATTGCGGTTAAATTCTTTTAAATACTTCTGAATGAACGTCACATAAACGATATAAAAAGATAATTTAAATATTCTAAAAGAATAAAGTTTTTGCGTTACGCATAACTGCTGAACGCGTAGGCAAATCGCCTTTTCGCAGGCAAAATGCAAGCTGCGTAACGCTTCTTAACAAGGCCTGATATATATATATATATATATATATATATATATATATATATATATATATATATATATATATATATAAATAGCACAATGTTGTCAAGTAAAGACATTGAATTCAAAGAATTATCAGGATAATTGTTCCATGTATCATTAACAGGTTTTCCTATTGAAAAATTTGATTCTGCATGAGATGTCTAAATCTTTGAAATTGTTAGAACTTGGTCCTTGATATAGCAATACTACACTAATAGTATATCAAGTATATATATACATAGTATAGCATATATTCAGTTTTAAACCGTTTCTTTCATTATCTGTAAAAATTTCATTACCTGTATCAATATTACCACAATTTTCAAGTAATTGATAACAAAAACAAAAATTAGATGGAACGTCCTATTAGTTGTTGTAAAAAGACTTCTTATGTAATTGAAAAAAAACTTTATTAAAAATGCGTTACTTAAAAATTTTAAGAAGTTTTAGCGCTTGTATATATATATAAAAAAAAAAAATAATAAAACGATAAAATAGGAGATAACACAGTTACAAATATCGACGATATAACGAAAAATGCTTGCAGTAGCATAGCAAATCCAAGTAGTGATTTTTTTTCCGAAAATACAAATGCTAGTGACAATATTGTAGTTGCAAATATTGACGATATCACTAAAATTGATGAAACATATTCTGCTGTGTCTGGAACTAAATGATCTAGCTTGCTGGCTTCCCCAGCGGGAATTTCTTTTTAAAGGTTACGTTCTAAATGTATTTTAAACGTCTTTTAAACATCTTCTAAACATTCTTATGTAAAGAATATTTAAAAGGCGTTTAAAAACGTTTAAAAGACATTTACAACGTAACTTTGAAAAACAAATGCCCGTAAGGTTTAATTCTTACCTATAAAATGGTGGATAATTTAATCGAAAAAGATTCTATTCAAAATATACAATCTACATATGCAGAAAAAAAATTGGGAAGATCCTTTTCAAAGGCTTATTTCTATAGAAAAATGCCAAATGATGAAAAATTTAAACGTGATTGGTTAATTTATTCTCCGAAAAATAATGCCATATTTTGTTTCTGTTGTTAATTATTTGGCAAACAAGAAATAAAATTAGTTAATGAAGGCTTCAATTATTGGCAATACACATCTGAAAACTTATCTCATCACGAAAAAACATCAATGTACATCAAAAACTGCACTCGTTGAAAAGAATAGGAATTAAATTTAAAAAGAAAAACTACAACTGATAATAATGTGCAAAGGTATTATGATGCTGAGAAAAAACGATGGTGTCAAGCAGACCACATATGGCATATGGCAGACCACATAAAACACGTACAAAATTCAATAGCTTTAAAGAGCCACATGCCACATTACCTGGGAAATCGCTTTTAAAATGAAATAATCACTCTCTTTGCAATTCAAATTCAAAAATGTATATTAACATCAATAAAAGAAGCAAAATATTTTTAGTAAAATGATGCAAAAAGTTTCTTGCGATATCAGTTTATGTGCTGAGTCAATTATGGAAGTTTTGAAGTTTTTCAAAAGCATTAGAAATGATAAATGTTTCGAAAATTATTTGAATATTCTAATGAAAATTGTAAAACAGTTGAAACAGAACCGGATTTCCCTGCTGAAATTAGTGTACGTCGCCGACGTCACCAAAAACAATTTAGCTATGAAAGAGAAGAAGATATTTAATTTACTACAAAAGAAAATTTTCAAATTAATTTTTATTATGTTATACTAGATACAGCTGTTTCATCTCATACCACCCGTTTTGAAACTTTGTCGAATTTTGGATTTCTCTACAAATTTATTATATGGAAGATAAAGAAATAAAAAAAAGTTGTTTTGATCTTCATAATAAATTGAAAGATGTAAATCCTGTGATATCAATGGCGCGGAATTGTGTGAAGAAATAATTTCTTTGAAAATAATTGTAAAAGACAAAAAGCAACCCAAAGAACTCCTAAATTTTTTATATAAATACAACTTGGGGATGTCTTTTCCAAATATCGCCACGAGTTTAAAACTTTTTCTAACAATTCCAGTTTCCGCTGGTTCAGGAGAGCGAAGTTTCTCAAAATTGAAAATAATTAAAAATTATCTGAAGATATCTATGATACAAGAACGTCTCAGTAATGTTTCAATTATTACAATAGAAAGTGACATTGCTGATTTGTTAAATATTCAAGAAGCGATTGAAGTAAGTATTTAATCCAATAATTTTTGAACTTTACCACAGTTGGGTCGACCCAATCCGCCACCATTCTGCCACCCTTTATACCCATACCACATTACTGTGTTTTTATTGAAAAAGGATTTCAGACCCTTTATTGACACTAAAAATATCAATAATTTTTGTTACAACATACTCTTACATGTGAAGTTCTGGAGAAGGGATGGTATCAAGAATAAATTTTCTGGGATCTTCCTCACGCAAACACAGGTTAAAAAAATTATTGAACAATTTAATTGTCTTATAAGGATTTCCTGCATCTTGGTACCAATAGTTATCTGAAATTAAGGAAGCAAAAGTTCTCAAACCACTTATCGAGATAAACTAGTACAGTTACAACAAAGCCAATAAATTTACCAAATTTTGAAGACAAAGACAATAGATGGTCATATGAGTTTCTATAATATTTATAATAAAAGATAACTAAAATAATAAAAATGATATTGTTTTTTCCATCATGTTTTATTATTCTAAGATTTAATGTTTTAATAGATATTTGTTAAAAATTATTAAAATTTGGCAAAATCTTTAACTGATATGTCAAGAAGTATTAGGTGTAGATAAACATTTAAACTTTTCATATTGAAATATTTATTATCCAATCTAAAAAATATGCTGTTATAATCATATCTATATAAAAAATACTGTATCCATATAGAAAATACGCTGTTATAACCTAATACTATGAGTATTATGTCAGAAGCCACAAAACATTTGAGCTGATTTAGATTAATTAATTTGATAAGCATTCTAAGATTTTGGTTGTTCTCATTTAAATTACGTGTCAAAATCAGAGTTATCACCTTGTTCAACCCTGAGTCTTTCTTATTCCTACTATTGGTCCTCTAACTTTTTTATTATTACACGAAAACTAATCACAATTGAATAACAATTCTAATTTTATTATTTTATTTTCATAATATAAAAATGATTAGTTGCTAAACCTTCAGTGAATCCTGTCCTCCGTCAATTATAAATCTAACAATGGTTTTCAAAGAATCTAATCCACGTAGGTGGCATACTTCTAAAACAAGCGAGATCTTTAATGTATACAACATCTTTCAATACTGAGTTTTGAAGTTCATCTTCCATTTACATCAGAAAAAGCAATTTTTTTAATAATAATAATAATAATATATATATATATATATATATATATATATATATATATATATATATATATATATATATATATAATAATAATAATAATAATAATAATAATAAATAAACCAATAAATATAAATCTACTAGTGGATAATTGTAAAGATTTTTTAACCTTTAATAAAAACTTTACAGCAGTTGAGGTTAATTGCTCTGATATCTTTCTATCCTTGTAAAAAATAAAATTTTTAGAATTTTAAACAGCAGATGTTTTTGTGCATTGGTGCCCAATGCCCTTTTCAACTAGCTGTGCAGTATGAGTTTATCCTTTCAATGCAGAAATTTAAATCAATGATATAATATATTGAATTAAAATCTTGTGGCTGCGCTTGTCTGATACCATACAACAAATTGGATATAAACATTGATCGTCAGTTGGAGTAACTTTTCCAATCTTTATAAATAAATCTCTTCTACTTTTCCAAACCTCTTCTATCATTTTCATAGGCTTTCTTTGATGTGAACAAGAATGTTTGTACTTTAAGTAAAATACTCAAAAAAGGTTCGGCAACAATGTTCAGTGGGAAATGCATTTATATCAAAACTAAATCCTTTGTGTACATATTCTTAAACTAGTGAGCCATTTAATATGTAATATTTATAGGTAAACTTTTATCATCAATTGCTTTAAAAGCTTTATTAGTAAAACTATTAAAGGTATTATTATATATTAAATTTACCAAATTTTGAACACAAAGACTATAGATGGTCAAATGAGTTTCTATAATATTTATAATAAAAGATAACTAAAATAATAAAAACGATATTGTTTTTTTAAATACTATTTTATGGATTTCAAGAAAATATCAATTTTGGACTAAGAAGGAACGCTTAGGATTTTATTTTTAACACATTCCAGCTCATAAATATACATATTAATAGAATCTGAAGAAAAACCTCATGTCTTTTAAAATTCCACCTCAAATCTTTTGAATCAAGCAATATAGATTGAGGCATTTAAGTATATTGTATGTATAAACATGTGTTGTATAAGTTATAGATTACACATATTTACATATACAGTATGTTTGAGTTTTTTAATGTATGTCATACTTAACAGAACTTCTAAGTGTGGTGAGATTACACAGAATATTCTGTGTAATCTCACCACACTTAGAAGTTCTGTTAAGTATGACATACATTGAAAAACTCAAACATACTGTATATGTAAATATGTGTAATCTATAGCTTTAGCCTATTCATTAGCCTAGCCTAGCCAGTAAGCTTTAGCCTATTCATTCAAATGAATAGGCTAAAGCTTACTGTAACCTTTGAAAGCTTATTGAGCTTTTAAAATTGCAAACTGTAAAGTAATGTGTTCTATTTGATCTTAAATGCAAAAATTCAGTGTTTAAAATAAGTAGTCATGCTGGGAAGTAAAGTATGTTGTGAGGGATCCTGCACTATGAAGCCTGACAAGAAGAGAACTCTCAACTCATTAAATAAATACTGCAGTAACATTCACCTTTTTATTTTATATATATATATATATATATATATATATATATATATATATATATGTTATATTACATATAACATATATATATATATATATATATATATATATATATATATATATATATATATACTATATATATATATATATATAT